GGAAGCGGGTGAGCCCGAGCCCGAGCCTCAGCTTCCCCATCGCAACCCCCCCCAGGCCCTTCCTGCCACCCACCCTCGGGTGTTAGAGCCTGCTCTGCCCGTGTCCCCTCGCCCCGGTCCTGCCCTCTTCCTCCCGGTGTCCGTGGGTCCCCTCCGGTGCGGTTCTGACCCGTTCGGCCCCTCTTCAGGGTCACCCTGCTCCAGCCCGTCCACAGCGCCCGCCTCCTTCCCAGGCACGCATCACCCGGCACCGGCACAATTCCTACTAATTACGTGGTCTGATCCACCCCCCTCTGCTGGGCCCGGCGGCGGGAGGGGCGCCCTTCCCCTCTGCACCAGCAGTAGTGCCCCTGCTGCCCCCACCTGGAACTAGCCCCAGGCTTTGTCTTGTTTCAGCTCAGAGAGGGCTGGTCTAGGCTGCCCTGTGCTCACCGGTGCCCTTGGCCCAGACCCCAGGGGCCTCGATGGGGCTTAGCCCCAAGCCCACCCGTCCGGCTGTAAGCGTCCCTCCTGGAGCCCTCCTGTCCCTCCCTAAGGGACAAGCACTTCCTGCGCCGTGGTCTGGCGGCCCTCAGGGTGGGAGCCCAGGGTGTCCCCAGGTGCGCGAGGCTGGGCGCTCCTCTCCCACGCCGGGTCCCCTTGTCTAGCGAGCACTTCTTTGTGGGTGGCCCTCTGGCTCCTCTGATGGCCTGGTCCTGCCCTCGCCTATTTCTGCCCAGAGTCCTGTCTTTTCCCTGACGTGGGGGATTCTTTACCTCTAGTGTTGGCGCCGGTTTTAAACACGGCAACACCTCCTGCTCACTACGCTGGCCCATCGCGGGTGCTCTCCGCTCCACGGGGATTTTCACTCTTATAAGTCACAAACCCATCAAAACCTGTCCCGTGGTTGCTCTTTGGGGTTTTAGGTTCTCCACTCTGAGCTCCCAAATAGGTTTCCCCACATTTTTTCTGAGGTTCTCAGTCCTCAGGCGGCCCTGAATGGGGCGGTGATGTCCACCCAGTGTGCACGGGAGCCCAGGTCCCCCGCTGACCACTGTCACTGCAGTGAGTCTGCAGCCTGGGCCCCGCTGACCCCCGTTACTGTGGGTCTGCAGCTGGCAGGATCCAGCAGGAAATCGCCTCTCCTACGTATCCTCAAAGCCAACTGGGCTTTTTCAGCTTCAGTGACCAGTGTGGGCCTTCTGTTCTTCCATATGAATTTTAAAGTTTAATTAGAGTTTCTCGAAAGTACAGGTGGCCTTTGGTTAGGACTGTCTGGATTTAGCACAGGGCCCCTTCCCTTCAGCCTTCCTGTTACTTCCGGAAGGGGGAGGACAGGCTGGATTTCAGTTTGCAGCTCGGTCTGAGTCCCCTCCACCGGGCTCCCCTGTGCCCTGCACCCCGTGAGGACAGAGCCTCACTCTGCCCCCAGTCTCCTACCCACCCTCTTGCTGAAGGTTCAGGGTTTTCCTAGTTGTGTAGCAGTTACTTTAAACTCCCATCTTCCCACAAACTTTGTTGCTCCCTTTCTACACCAGGGTGAGCATTCCTCCTTTTTAAGTTCCTTACTTGGATTCTTTTCTTTTTGGGGTGAGATAAGTTTTTCTACGCGGGCACCCCATCCTGAACCTCGTGTCTGAACGCGTCTCTTTGTCCCAGACACATGGTGTTTGGCTGAGGGCTGGCCGGCACCCCAGAGGCCCCCCCCCCGGAGTTTGCTCAGTCAGGTCAGTTTATTCTGGCAAAGATTCAAGTCAGGACTTGACATGACCTTCAACCTTAGGGCAACCACTGCCATGCCCACGGCTTCCCTGGCCCAGGATCACCGCCGCCCGAGGGCTCCCACGTGCTCCGGCTCCCAGGGCCGCCTGTGCATGGCGGTGTCACAGGTCCCCGGGCAGTGCCGGCCAGGAGGACTCCCTGGCGGTCAGGCGGGCTGCCCTCGAGAGGTGGCTACTGAGCACTTGGGATGTGCCGAGCGCAACCGAGAAACTGAGTTTTTAATTCCACTTTATTTTAACGCAGTTAAACGTGAACCGAACCAGCCATGAGTGGCAGCACGTGGCTCCTACACTGGGCCGGGCAGCTCCGGAGAGTGGGGAGCAGGGGCCCTGTGGTGACCACGCGTGGTCCTCATTCTGCTGAGGAGAAACTGAGACCCGAGGACGACCAGGTTCACGCAGACTAATCAGACGTGGGGCTGCTGAGGTAAATTTTAAAAAACACGAGCCGACAGAAGAATGGGGTCAGAGTGGGAGGCAACGTCACAGGTGGCTGAAGGTGAGCTCCCTGCAAAGTCTGAGAAGACTCAGGCGGGTGCACCTTCTGTGAGTGGCAAGGTGACCTCAGAGGGCCTGGGGGTGCGGCGGGGGCCGGGCCCGCACACGCCACTGCTCTCTAAGGGAGCTGAGGGTCACGGCAGAGGGCCGAGCCACCTTTACCCACCATTTGGTTTCTTTTTAAATATATAAAGTGTTTTAAACACTGGCATCAACTGGTCTAAAAGACTGGGAAGCTCTGGGCTGACAGGCCTCAGGCCTCTGGGACGCCCTGAATGCCCCCCAGCAGCACACAGGTGCCTGGGTGACCTCCTGAGGGGACACAGAGCAGAGGCCGCCGTGTGGTGCGAGGAACAGCACGCCTCTCAGAGCGCGAGCGGCGGACACACGGCAGTGATCACTCAGTGCCTTTTATTGCCATTGGGTTGTGACCGTTGATAGTGACGATTCAGGAGCAACAGGTAGATTAAAAAACCGTGGCCGGGAAGTTCATTTGGAGAGAGGAGCAGGTGAGGGCGAGGAGGGTCAGAACCTGACGAAGGTGGCGTCGATCTGCCGCACGCTGGGCAGCGCCAGCATCACCTTCCGCCGGTACTGCGGGTCCTTCTGCAGGGGGTTCCGCTCCAGGTACACCGTCTCCAGGCTCTTGGCTCCCTTTAGCTCGTCCAGGTCGCTCCAGCTCTCGAGGAGGTTGTCGTTCATCTGCAGGGACCACACAGACGGACGCACACAGACACGAAAACGGAACAAGACAGAAAGCGCGCATGTATTTATGAGCAGCTGTCACTTCTCTGTGACTTGCCTGCTTGCCCCTGCCCGCTGCTCCCACGCGGCTCTGCACGGCCGTCTTTAACATAAGGAGTCACCTCACGGGCAGATTCTACGAGCACCTGCTCACTGTCGCCTCGTCACCCTCCACCCGACTGGAGCCCAGGATTGTCAGCCAGATGGGAAAGTGTCTGGACACCAGAGGCGGCTCTGCCCTGCCCACTGGTGGTCTGAGGGACAGCGTCCCATGTTCTAGGGCAGGTGCTACCCAGCCTCCAGCAGCCGCCAGCCGCCTGCCTCCTGGGGAGCCAGGTGCACTGCTGGCCCCTCCCTGTCTCACAGCCCATGTCCCACATGCTGTCTCTTGCAGGGCGTGCAGAGGAACCCCACCCTTCAGAAACACGACTTCAGTGTCAGCTGTGTCCCCAAACCTTCTGCCAGTGACCCCCTTGTGACGCAGTTCCTGTCTCTGGTTGGTTTAGTTTCTCTGTGTGGTTTCCTGGTCCCTTCAGAGCCAAATCCCCTCAGTGCGATGTGCCCAGCCCTCCAGCAGTCACCTTCCCTCAGGGCGCTGCACAGGGCTCAGCCCAGCACACCACCTCCTTGCTGTCTGGTCTGGCTTCCCTGGCATGATCTAGCACCAGATGGGACACCACCCTAGGCTCAGTGCTTTAATAAGAGGCAAGGGACATTTTCACATGGGCCCCTGTGTTCTAGGGACACTTGGATGACCCTTTGAGAGGAAATGAAAGCAGACAGGACATCAGCAGGGTCCACAGCATGAATTAAGAGTGACCATGTTGAGGACAATGCTCACTCCACAGCATCACAGGGGCATGAGCTTGGGGATGAGCAGTAAACATGCCTCGAACACCCATGGGATCCTGACACCGAGGACGACTTCACCATCATCTGCAGCCCACTTAGAGGGGTGTGCAGACCCCTGACATCCGTTTCTCTTCCAACTGACTGGACAGACTCCCCGAGCCACACTGCAGCAATAGGACAGCTTGAAGAGATTCCAGGTGATGCCTGAGGACACCCGGCCCTCTGAGCTGTGTGGCCCTCTGGTCACATGGCAATGCTCAGGTCTAACCCCACGGAACAAGGCGCTCGCCTCCACCTGCACAGCAACCACCCAGTCAGACAGTTGGGTATGTGGGCCAGAGACCCGCGTTTTTAACAAGCTCCTGGTGATGCTGATGCCACTGGCCCAGACAAAGCCGCCACCAGCTTCCAACCTCCGTGCACGGCCGTCTTAGCGCACACCCCATCACCCTGCACAGCCTGAGGCTGCACCCCCACACTCATCAACCACTTCACCCGCCACCTGGCCGTGTTCGACTCACCCAGAATTCCTGCAGCTCTGTTAGATGGCTGACATTTTCAATCTTTTTGATTCTGTTTGCTGCGATGTCCAGCATCGTGAGTTTGTTCTGAAATAGGAATGTTTGTCCTGGGTTACCTCCATGACCATGCACACAGCTTAGCACTGCAGGCCAGCCACCCTAGCTGCCCTCAGAGCAGGGGCACGCTGACAGGGACAATGACACCACCCAGAGCTCTGAAGTGCGTGGCTCCTCTGCCTTGTCCCCCATTTCTGACCAGGTCCTGTCTCCCCTTCTCTACTGCACCCCAGGACTCTGAGGCCAAGCCTCCCAAGTTCATGGGAAAGTTAAAGAACATCCCAATTAAATTAAAATACCCTCCCTCCCCCCAAGCATGCAGCCAGCAGCTCTGCTGACTCAGAGGTCTCTGGCCCTAGTGTCTGACTCCTTGTGGGCCTCCCCCATGTCCCACCCCCACGAACTACCCAGTGAGGAGCTGGAGCTGTGTCCACAGAAGCTGGTACCCATGCTGGCTCGTCACTTGTCCTTAGCCTGGTGAGCGCCTGTCATGCTCTGGGGGATTCAGAGCTAATAGGGACTAGAGGGGGGCCTGTGGCTAGCCCTTGGGTGCACGGTAGGGGCATGGCAAGGACAGGCCAGGTCTACGTCCCTGACGGCAGGTCTCTCCAGCTTGCTGCCCATGTTCTGCAGTAGGTGCAGGTGCAGAAATGGGCAGAGCTGAAGTGCCTGAGACACGCAGGATCTGACCTCCCCGAAGTCTCCGTGCACAGGCTCAGCAGCAGGGTGGGGTCCCTGCTGCCAGAACCGACCCTGAAGCTCTGAGGACAGAGCCACGCACTTCCTCATGTTTTTCTGGGGAGCTGGACAACGTTTTGAAAGCAAACCAGTAAGACTCTTCCTCCCTTCCTCCCAAAAAAAGGCAAGTGGGGAGAGCAGGCACCAGAGGCCCCGACTCCCAGTGGAGAGCAGAGTGGAGGAGCACTAAGGAGCCGGAGGGGATCGTTTGTGGTGTTGGGACAGGGGATTTGCCATTTGGGAAAAATATACATTTACTACCTTACCTCCCAACACAAAAATAAATGCCAGGTAAGGGGGGAGATAAAACTCAGTAGAAAGTACAGGTGTGTATCTGAGTTCTAGCTGACAAGCGGTCCCAGGAGAAGAGTCGCTCGATTGGGACACACGTAGTCAGGTAACTACCTTCAGGGCAACGCCCGCTCTGTTTCTGTTGTTTCAGAGGCCTGGGGAGTCCTAACCTTGTGACTCATCCGAGGGCGGTGGCTCCTAGGCCTGGGCCTCTCTGAGCACAACCTGCCAGCTCCAGTCCCACGGCTTCACCCAGTCCCACCTCAGAACCACGCCTCAACATACAGAGAAGGCGACTACACTTCCACAGGCAAATCCCAACATTCCCAACATTTTATGTGGATGTTTGTGGCATGAAACTCAGAACATCGTTTCCCCCAACATTACTCATGGCGGCTAGGCCAGGGGCTGAGGTGAAGGCTGGAGGAGCCTTTCCTGATCAAGATGCTGTCTGCATGAGCAAGTGACCAGTCAGGTAACTGCTGACCACTGGAGAGAGCAAAGCAACCCAGGAAAACGGAATGAGCAGAGCCCTTCATTTGCTTGACGGCTGCCCTGAGAAAGCAACCAGGAGGGTCAGGGCCTCTGCGGGAGCTTCGGGCAAAGCTGCCCCTCACTCATGCACCTGAGGCTGCCCTGGGCTGAGCAGCAGGCCTGGGGTGGGGGTGTGGAGTGTGGACAGGCCTGTCCTCACCAGGGATGGTGAGGAGGAGGAAGGTGCACCCTTGCAAATGCCTACAGTACCGCTGGAGGCCATGCTGTGGACACTGCCCTGTGGGGCCCTCACTGCCTGTGCTGACCCTGGCCGTGGTGGGGCCCTCAGCTCAGCTCAGGGCTTGCTCAGGGGGCTGTCCTGCATGCCTGGTGAAGGGGAACTGCTCCATCTGCAGGGCTGGGAGGTCTCTAGGAGAAACCTCCGGAGGCAGCACCTACTGAAGGCCAGCTCGGAGGCGGCAGTGTGCTGCTGGCCAGCTGCTGGCCGCCTGAGCCTGCGGCAGCCTAAGCCCACCACCCGTAGACAGGGGTCTTACATTGTTTTCCAGGCCCTCAATGACCTCGATGCCGTTGTGGCTGAGGTACAGCTCCCGCAGGTTCACCAGGCTCTGCAGACCCTCGATCTTGGTCAGCCGATTGCTCTGGGAGGGAGAGCCGACAGTTGTCAGAATGTGTGGAGAGCGTGAGATACAACAGCTTTTAGGAAAGGAAGTTTCTCTTGCTGGAGGATTGGACACAGGGCATCCCACTTAAAATGGGCAGCAGGGGCTTATGAAAGAGAAAGGACAGCACCTCCAGTCTGTTGTCCTGGGCTGCGACTCACGGTGAAGGTCGGAGATCTTTATGCAAAGAACTCACTGTTTTTAG